CCCCAAAACCCCAAAACCCCAAAACCCCTAACGGCATGAAGAATATTGAATCACAAATAAAAAAAAAAAAACGGTCAGTCACAAAATAGGATAAGTAAGTCTTATTTTATAACATAGACATTATAACTAAGGATTGCTTCCCTAAACCAATGGTTTTCAAATAAACCCTTTTATATTTCTAGCAAGGTCAACTCGACTAGTCTGGAATCTATGAAAAGAAAGTGTTAAATGAAGGAGAAGTAAGCTCCTTCTAAATTGCTCAATCTTTCCATAACTTTCTCAGATTTCTGAACTTTTATATCTATAGATCTATAAGGATAACTTATCAGCAAAACAGAAGTCTGAGTACTTCAAAGAAATCTATTAAATTGAGTCCTAAATAAGAATAACTTCTTGATAAGGTCTCATATTCATCAGTCTAATGATAATATTGAGAATATTAGAAGAGTTGTACTTAAGAAGATTGACCAGCTGCACATGGCTAAAATAAATGATGCCTTCATGTCCAAGAGACTCCGCAAGAATTGTACTGTTTTGGCTCATATTTTAGATAAAATCTCACTGCCTAGATCCATTGATAAAGTATAATTTTTCTTTAAAATTCCATTTGTATCCAACCTATGATAGAATGGACCTATAAAATTTACAGGATGATTAATGTTATTAGAGCCAAACCTCCAATAGAGTTCGTAATTTAAAATATAGATCCTCACACCAGAAAAAGTAATTGGATTGTCAAAGGGGACTAGCAAGAGAAGATGACAAACCAGGAAATTAGCGTATGAGTGATTCTTTACCTAAATTTTCCTTAAAATTCTCATAATCTCTAATAACTTCTTGCATGATATGAACAACTCTCAATCTTTCTCTACAATAGAGTAGCAGATGTAAAGCTGTTTATTATACATTACAGAAATACTTAGTGCAATGGTCTAGCCTCATATTTACCTCTCCTTTAGATATGATACGAGGCAGAAGATTCAGATCCTCAAGCCAGGAAGAATGAAGTTTAATATGAACATTAATATTTAAGTTGCTTTTACTAGAAATTAATTGCAATCTAAGCCAATTTGTTAGCTAAAATCAAATACATCCGATAATTCAAGGACCTGATTTTATTGTGAGCTTATACTGAATGAGGCATGAGGAACATCTTCTAGTGCTTAATTTTTAGATTCAATTCTCTCCAAACTTTTAGACTGGTATTATTATAATATGAGAGTATAAAGTAGTTGGTTATAGCTGCAAGCTTTCATTATTCTATTGGTAAAGAAGAATAACCTCCCATTATCTTTATTGTTGTCTTCGAAGAAAATTAAATAATAGTCAAATTTATTACTATTGGTTTAATATACACTCCTCGCTTCTAATATGGCTGGGTCTTCTCTGTAAGCATGGTTTTCATGAGATTGAAAAGTTAACTTTTATACTAAAAAAATTCAACTATTCTGGTAAAGATTGGGGTTTTGGGGTTTTGGGGTTTTGGGGTTTTGGGG